CTAATCCTAGCTATTCAGGAGGGATCTGAGGATTAATGTTCAAAGTCTGTCCAGGCAGGAAAGGCCATGACACTTTTATCACTAACTAACCACCAAAAAGCCAGAAGTGGAGCTTGGCTCAAGTGATAGAGTACTAGCCTTGAGCAGAAAAAAGATTCATGTTTTGCATGGGCTTTAGACCCCAGGCCCAAAAGCTGGGAGTTCTATGTTAGTTCCAGTCACTCATTTTCATATGCAAAATATAGAGATAAGATGAAGAGCAGAGAAAGGAGATTTATTACTTGGCAGCCTGGGAAGACAGCACTTCAGTACATCTTCAGCTGTCTTTAGGGTACAGGTTAAATAAGGAGAATTCAGGGCAAGGGATGAGAAAGGTATGAGTAGTTCAAACAGTTCCAAGTCACAGGTGTGGCTTGGTTGACTCTGGAGGACAAGAAAGGTTGCCTTTTGTCACAAGATGCTTATTGGTGAATTTGGTCTTTCCTGGAGCCAAGGTGATTGCAAACAAACTTCAGGAAGGAATAACTAAAATCAAAGGCCTCAGATACTAAATGTGTGTATGTAACAGCAAGGTGCCCTTCTTTAACTTAATTCATAAATCTACCAAAAGCATTTTTAAGTTGTTCTTTTATTCATAGTTATTATTGATAATAGTGGAATACTGCAAATAAAAATCCAAATATACTACAATATGGGATTGGTTAGTAAATTATGATCCATATGGTACAGACATGGTATCCATTAAAATGATGTAGTGGCTGAGAATGTAACTTAGTGCAGAGTGCTTGCCCAACATGCCCAACTAGATATCCCGAATTCAATTATTTTTCAATGCTGGGAATCAAACCTAGGGCTTCACCAGTGCTAGACAAGTGTTCTATCGCTAACCTATACCCTCAGCTTATTGATTTTATATATATGACTGTTTTTGGAATTAGTGTTTGCACTCAGGACCTAGAGCTTGCTAAACAGGGCCTTACCACTGGAGATACATACCTTTAACCTCTAAAAAAGAATTTTAAGGGAGAGAAATGAGGGGCATTATGGAGAGGTTGAATCTGATCAAGGTATATTATATGCATATATGGTCATGTAAAAATAACCCCCTTTGGGGCTCAGTGTTGGAGTGCTTGCCTTGCATGCATGAGGCCCTGGGTTCAATTCCTCAGCACCACATAAGCAGAAAAAGCCAGAAGTGGCTCTGTGGCTCAAGTGGTAGAATGCTAGCCTTCGAGCTGAAGAGCTGAGGGACAGTGCACAGGCCCAGAGTTCAGGCCCCACGACCTACAAAATATTAACCCCCCCCCTTGCACTTGATGCTAGTAAAAATGAGGGAAACATAATTTTAAACCTATGAACTTGATTATGTCACTTGTTTCCTATAGTATTTTTTTGAATGTGTATGAGCAGTTATATTTTAGGGTTATTATGTGTCTATTGGAAGAAATAAAATGACAAAAAGCAACTAAAGTCACTTAGATACACCATTGGCTTTTCATGTGTGTGTGTGCATGTGCTGGTACTGATACTTGAACTCAGGGCCTGGGCACTGTCCCTTAGCTTTTCTGCTCAAGGATAGTGCACCTGTTGACACCCCCACCCCCTCCATTAATTGAAGACTCATGGACTTTCCTGCTGGGCTAGGCTTTGAACCACAGCCGTCAGATCTCAGCCTCCAGAATAGCTAGGCTTATAGATGTGAGCTACCTAATGCCTAGCTGGCCTTCCCTTTCTAGATTTCAAAGTTTGACATGTTGCTTTGTAAGCTTGTAAAGTGCTTTGTGTTTAGGCAGCCTGTAGGTTCCTGAGTTACACTTAAAGCCAGTTAGAGCCATAGAGAGATTTTCTACATTTGGGGCCTATTTTAGAACCATTTCTTGTAATTGATAAGTGAATGTCAGCAAGTGATGTCAGGTTTCACTTGCTGGGCTTGTTTCCTGTTCTTCTCCACTAGAGGGCAGCATAGCGGGCTTTGAAAGGAGAGAAGGAAATTTGGCTGATCTTGTCTAGCCTCTCCTATCTCAACCCTAAGCCTTATAGCACATGTATATCTCTGAACAACTTGAAGAGAAAGTTCAGTCTTTTGAAGGGAATTATATTCATACAAATGTTTATATATTATCTTCTTGCAGCATGGGGAGAAAATATGGCAATTTTCCCAGGGATTTAATTGGGGGAGGGGGCGCTTGAACTCAGGGCCTGGGAGCTGTCCCTGAGTTTTTGTGCTCAAGGCTAGCTTTATCACTTTGAGCCACAGCTCTGCTTCTGGTTTTCTGGAGGTTAACTGGAGATAAAAGTCTGAAAGACTTTTCTGCCCCTGCTGGCTTTGAACCATGATCCTGAGATCTCAGCCTCCAGAGTAGTAAGGATTACAGGTATGAGCCACCAGTGACCAACATTTTTTTTTGGGTCCGGTCGTGGGGCCTGAACTCTGGGACTGGGCGCTGTCCCTCAGCTCTTCAGCTCAAGGCTAGCACTCTACCACTTGAGCCACAGCACCACTTCTGGCTTTTTTTTTTTTTTGCTTATGTGGTGCTGAGGAATCGAACCCAGGGCCTCATGAATGCAAGGCAAGCACTCTACTACTGAGCCACCTTCCCAGCCCCGACCAACATTTTTTTTAAAGCAAGGATTTGAATTTTGTTTTAATATAACAGGGTTAAAGTAGAGAGAAATGGAAGACAGAAACATTTCCTGCTCATATGCATGAAATGTGAGTTAAAGACCCCTTAAAATGTGTTGATTGGAAAGCAACTGAGTGTGTCTTCGGTCCTATTATGGAGAATAGAACTACTGATGTAATACAGGAGCAGAAAGTAATCCTGATTTTTTTTTTTTTGCCAGTCCTGGGGCTTGAATTCTGGCCCTGGGCACTGTCCCTGAGCTTGTTTTACTAAAGGCTAGCACTCTACCCCTTGAGCCACAGCACCGCTACTGGCATTTTGGTGGTTAATTGGAGATGAGTCTCATGGACATCCATGTCTATGCTGGCTTTGAACTATGATCCTCAAATCTCAGCCTCCTGAGTAGCTAGGAAGCTAGCAGCAGCCAGCCCCAAATATTATTATTATTACTATTGGTAGTAGAAGTAGTAGTATTGTGCTGGTTGTGGGATTTGAACCCAGGACTTGGGCACTGGTCCTGAACATTTTACTCAAGGCTAGCACTCTGCCACTTAAACCACAGTTCCACTTCCAGTTTTTTGGTGGTTCATTGGAGATAAGAATCTCACAGAGGGCTTGGAATGTGGCTTAGTGGTAGAGTGCCTGCCTAGCATGCATGAAGCCCTGGGTTTGATTCTTTAGTACCACATAAACAGAAAGAGCTGGAATTGGCACTGTGGCTCAAGTGGTAGAGTGCTAGTTTTGAGCAAAAGAAACTCAAAGATAGTGCCTAGGCCCTGAGTTCAAGTCCCAGGACTGGCCAAACAACAACAAAAAGAATCTCCTAGACTTTCCTGCCCTGGCTAGATTTGAACAATGATCTTCAGAGCTCAGCTTCCTGAGTAGCTAGGATTACAGGCCTGAGCCACTGATGCATGCCCCAAATCACTAGTTTGAAGATGAACTAAAGGAAAAAATTGAAACAATCCTGCTGTTCCTATTAAACTATACTACAAAGTAATAGAAGATAAAAGAGAACCTTCCTTTATGAAAGTATTGCAACCATTATGACAGAACTTGAATAGGGCTGTTGGAAATTTGAAAAGCAGTCAAGGCTAAACTTAATGCCTAGGAATCTACTTCAAAAACTACTCAAGGAAGTAATTAGTGTTTACCATAGTCCTACTGAGGACAAGAAATAGGATCTGAAGGATGAGTAATCTCCAGGTAGCCTTTTTAAAGGTGTTCACTTTAAAATAATTTTTAAAAATTTATATTAATTTAAATTATTTTTTATATTATTTTAATTATACAAAGTTGTCATCCTTCAACATGTCAATTTATATATACAATTCATCTTGATCAACTTCACACCTCCATCATTCCAATCCCCTCTACATCTATTAAGCTAGATATAACTTAAAAACTATTATATTGAATATAGCTTAATAAACTATTATACTAATATATATAATAATATATTAAGTTATATCTAGCTTAATAAACTATGATATTGGCTATAGTTTAATAAACCTATATTGGATACTATTAGATAATATTATATCTAGCTTAATTAACTATTAAGTTTATTAGTAAACTATTAAGTTGTTAAACTTTCCTGCCTGGGCTGGCTTTAAACTGTCATCCTCAGATCTCAGCTTCCTGAGTGGTTAGGATTATAGGCTCCTAGCCCTTTTCACTTCAGTTACTTTTTAAACAGAATCTTGTGTTTTTGCCCAGGTCAACTTAGACCTTGATCCTCCTACTTATGCTTCTTTTTTTTAATACTGGTACTAGAACTTGAACTCCATGTTATTTGGCTTAATACTAAGTATGTTTTCAAAAATACTGTATGACCCACATTTAGGAAAGAAGAAAAACAGGCTTGAGAACTAAAAATGGAAGCATTTTTACTGGAGAATTGGATTGTAGAAGCTTCTATATGTCTGCATGAGACATCAAGAGTGTTAGCCCTAGCTGAATGCCAGTGGTTCATGCCTGCAATCTCAGGAGACTGAGATTTGAGGATTCCAGTTGAAAGCCAGGCTGGGTAGACAAATCCAAGAGACTCATCTCCAGTTAATGAGCAAAAAGCCAGAAGCAGAATTGTGGCTCCAGTGGTAGAGTACTTGAGTGGAAAAGCTAAGGGACAGCACCAGGCCCTGAGTTCAAGCCCCAGTATAGTCACAGGTACACACACAGGCACATAGGCACACACAGACACACACACAGACACACACAGACACACAGACACAGACACACACAGGCACACACACACACACACACGTTTTAGCACTGTACTGAGTTGTCTGCTGAAGCTCCCACCTTTTTAAGACCTCTGGTGAGACCACTGGGAAAGCATGTGAAGATGGTTGGGAAATGAAAACAGTACAAATGTTGTATAAAATAAGTGATATCTCTTATTCAACAGTTTGTGGGGGAAGGACTATGGCCTGGTCTCATGGCACTCAGATATTATAGTTAATAACAAGTTGCCCATATTTCCTCTAAGTCTAGGGGTTCCTAGGATCTTAGAAGCCATCTATTTCCAGATGGAGGTGCTATGTTGTCTTGCTAGTTTGGAGTCCTGGGTCACATTCTGCCCACACGCCCTTCCAGGGCCTCCAGCTCACCCAACACCTCTTTGGGAAGATCTTGGTTGACCTGCTCTGTCAGGTAGCTGCGAATGTCACAAACCTCCTGCTCCCAGAAGTCCTTGGGGACTGATAACAGCTGAGTGGTGTCTATGGCTTTGAGGCCACTGAGGTCTAGGGCTCCTTCCTTTGGTACCAGCCCAATAGGTGTCTCTTGGGCACTTTCTTCCCCCTCTAACCTCCTGCAGATCCAGTCTAGCACACGAACATTCTCCCCAAAGCCTGGCCACAGGAAGTAGCCTGCCTCATCACGCCGGAACCAGTTGACGTGAAAGATGCGGGGCAGCTGGGCTCCCTTATGTCCCTCCATGCTCAGCCAGTGTTCCAGGTAGCGCCCAAAATTGTAGCCGAAAAAGGGCCGCATGGCAAATGGGTCGTGCATGATGACCTTCCCTAGGACGGGGAGAAGGGTGGGTAAGGAATCTTCTTCCTTTCTGGGGGTAGGGTACCCTGAATCCAGTTGGAGGGAGTTATGAAAAATTCAGCTCTGGAATATCCTTAGGGAAAGTGAAGAGAAGGAAAGGGTGTGGGGCAGCTGAAGACTTCAGGGATGGGCAAGAGGAAGGTCTGTTCAGAAAGGGAGGAAGGTGGGGTGCTGGTGGCCCACATCTGTAATCCTGGCTACTCAGGAGGCTGAGATCTAAAGACTGAAGTTCAAAGCCAGTTGGAGTAGGAAAAGCTATGAGACTCTAAATCTCCAATTAACCACCAGGAAACCAGAAGTGGAGCTGTGGCTCAAAGTGGTTGAGCGCCAGGGACAGTGCACAGGCCTTGAGTTCAAGACCCACTACTGACCCCCGCCCCCCCCCCCCCCCAAAAAAAAAAGGAAGAAAGGGAGAAAGCAGGTAATGTGGGCTTTTGCAGGAAGGGAGAAATGGAATGTGTGCTCACCTTTGTGTTCAGCTGCTGCAGTGGACTCAGAGCGCATGGCACTACCCACAAATACCCCATGACGCCAGTTGAAGGCCTCATATACCAAAGGTACCCCTAGAATACCAATGAACAGGGTCACATACAGTCATTTCCTTTGGATCCTCATTCCTTCCCTTCTGAAGATCTTGCTTCTCAGTCTCTCTCCCTTAAGGATGTTTCCATAACTCATGTTTCCTCCAAATTTTGCATTCACCAGGAGGAGAACTCTGAAGACAGATATCGCAAGCTAGATCTATGCTGAGGCTCCCTGAGCTTTCTATAGGAAAGCAATGGGCCCGACAGAGAGCAAGACCCTTTACCAGGAAGGCACAGAGCCCACATTTTGTTTTACCTTTGGGTCTACGGCCTCCAAAGATTATAGCATCAATGGGGACTCCCTCCGGGGCCTCCCAGGCTGGATCCATAATGGGGCACTGATGAGCAGGGGCACAAAAGCGAGAGTTGGGATGTGCACAGGGCTCCTTGTCACCTGGTAGAGGAAATACAGAAGGAAATACAGAGGAAATACATTACTTCCAAGGTCATGTCCACCCTTAACACACATGTGTACACAATTCTTACATTTTTTTCCTCATTAGCTACTACAACCTCACAGAGTAAGGAGTAGGGACAAAGGAATTAGGACAGGATCCTAATGGTACTACCAGAAAAAAAAAAAGGGAAAGGAATTGGATTTGGCAGGATGTGTATTTCGACTATAGGCACTTGGTATTAACTGGGAGTCATGGGAAAGGGGAAAGATTATGGCATAAGGTTATAATAGTTTCCTTAGAAACTTTACTTACACAATTATTTCTCAAATCTAAAGCAAAAAATGAGAGTGTCAGGTCAGTATTTCCAGGGATTAGTTTTCCATCAGCAGATTGATCTATTTCCTGTCAGCAAATGCCAACAGGAATTTGTTTCTTTTCTTTCTTTCTTTCTTTTTTTTTTTTTTTTTTTTTTTGTAGTGGTCTGGGGCTTTAAATCAGGCCCTGGGCACTGTCCCTTGGCTTTTTCACTCAAGGCTGGCACTCTACCACTTGAGCCACAGCTTTCTGGTGGTGGATTGGAGTTAAAAGTCTTATGGATGTTCCTGCTCAGGATAGCTTCCAACTGGGCTCCTCAGATCTCAGCCTCCTGTGTAGCTAGAATTACAGGCATGCCACTAGTGCCCAGCAAGAATAGATTTTAAAGAAAATAGTTTTAGTGATTTCCCTGGGTCTACTTTGACCCTGGTGGAATAGTAGTTAGGGCTTGAGGTCCTCCAACAGGAATATAACCTTAGGTGCCCACAATACCCAGTGCTTTCAAGTGCCCTGAATGTGCACATGGATGTTACTGGCCTGTTCGAGGGATGGGGAGAGTACAGAGGCAACACTCCTACCCTCACCCCCACCTCCTGCCTTCTATCTCAGAGAAGAGTCATCTGTCATTAGCTCTGAACATAGGATCTTAGCACAGGTTATCTATTGCTCTGGAAACTGAAGCTGGGTCCAAGATGCCCTAGTTATACCTCTGAATTCTGAGATGATGAAAGGGTTAGGGAACTAGCCTGTGAGGAAAGATTAAAGTCTCTCAGATTTCTCAGTTGGGTAGGAAGGTTGTAAGGAGCTTAATAATGGTGTTAGGAAAAAATGGAGGTGATTATCTGAGGAGAGATGCAGGCTTCAATGACCACAGGCCACCCTCCCCTGCCATGCTTTCTTTGTTTTCACCCCTCGGTTTCTAGATTTTTGGGCACAGTTGATGGTCCAGAATGCAATGCTGGAGGAAGGCTAGGACTCCAAGGCACCTCAGAAATGTCATAGTTGAGAAATAGCTTCTGGGAAAGAGTAAGAAAGACACTAGTCTGATTCAGTGCACTAGTCTGATTCAGTGTGGAAGAAGGTTTGGGATATTGGTGTTGGAGGGACAGGGATAGGTTGAGGGTAACAATACTGGTCTTTAGCAGTGGCTATAATGTATGGAGAGACAATGTAGCAAAAGGAGGGTTAGACAGAGGAAGAGGCCCTTTCCAAATGGGTCAAATGCTATTGTGGGTGTGTGTGTGTGTGTGTGTGTGTGTGTGTGTGTGTGTGTGTGTGTGTGTGTGTGTGTGTGTGTGTGTGTGTGTGTGTGTGTGTGTGTGTGTGTGTGTGTGTGTGTGTGTGTGTGTGTGTGTGTGTGTGTGTGTGTGTGTGTAGGCTTGAACTCAGGGGCCTGGTGCTTTAACTTGGCTTTTCCAAATGGGTCAAATGCTATTGTGGTGTGTGTGTGTGTGTGTGTGTGTGTGTGTGTGTGTGTGTGTGTGTGTGTGTGTGTGTGTGTGTGTGTGTGTGTGTGTGTGTGTGTGTGTGTGTGTGTGTGTGTGTGTGTGTGTGTAGGCTTGAACTCAGGGGCCTGGTGCTTTAACTTGGCTTTTCACTCAAGGATGGCACTCCACCACTTGAGCCATACCTCCACTTATGGTTTTCTGCTGGTTTATTGGAGATGAGTCTCTTTTTCTGCCCCAGCTGGCTTTGAACCACCATCTTCAGATCTGACTCATTAGTAGCTAGGATAACAGGCATGAGCCACCACCACTGGCTCCATTGTATTTTGAGTACAGTAACAAGTTTCAAAATAGCCTTTCCTCTTCCTTTTTTTCTTTTTTATTGGTGGTCGTGGGGCTTGAGCTCTGGACCTGGGTGCTGTCCCTCAGCTCTTCAGCTCAAGGTGAGCACTCTACCACTTTAGCCACAGCGCCAGACCTTCCTGCTGGGCTGGCTTTGAATTGTGGTCCTTAGATCTCAGCCTCCTGGGTAGCTAGTATTATATGTGTGAGCCACTGATGCTCAGCTCCTCTTCCTTTTTTCTAATTTCAACTTATAGTTATTATTATGTATCTACTATATGTTCAACATCATGCTAGTCCCCCCTTAATGTTATTTAATTTATTCCTCCAATAATCTTTGAGAAGAGTACTATAATAATCCCCTGTCTACTGGTGGGAAAAACCTGAAAGTTAAGTAATTATGAAAATACTCAGACCAATGATCAGTAGAACTTGTGGCTTCCAAAGGTCCAGAAATTGGCTAGGGGTTGTAGAGAAGGCTCTTTCCATCATTTAGGTACTTAGGTACTAAGCCCTGGAGCCTGTGTCACAAATCCCTCATCCCACATACCGGGTTTCCAGGGTTTGCCCAGCCAGGAGGTCACAGTGATGCCAGGTGGAAGAGGCTGGTCAATGCCTTCCCAGTATACACCACCGTCACTGGTCTCAGCCACATTGGTGAAAAGAGTGTTGCTCTGGATTGTGGCCATGGCGTTAGGGTTGGTAGTAGCAGAGGTTCCAGGGGCCACTCCAAAGAAACCATTCTCTGGGTTGATGGCCCGCAGTCGACCTGGGCAGGATGAGAAATTAAAGAAAGGAAGGACCAACCAGGAAAAGTTGGGTCCCCTTCCTTGGAATCCTACCCCTCCTTGGATCCTGGGTTTGACAGGGAAAGGTTCTTTTGTCTCTGGGATGGCCAGGCTACTTGGGTATGGGGCAGGGTTCTTACTGACATTGGTCACTAGGAACACTGGAGCCAGGATCAAAAGTGTGATCTGAGGGCCCCTCACCTTCATCGTCAAACCTCATCCAGGCGATGTCATCCCCCACGCACTCGACTTTCCAGCCTGGCAGTGTGGGCCGCATCATGGCCAGATTCGTCTTGCCACAGGCACTGGGGAAGGCAGCTGCCACATAACGCTTTTTCCCTGCAGGGTTAGTGATGCCCAGAATCTGTGTGTGGGGACAGAGGGACCAAGAAGAGGTCATCATCTGCATGGGGAGGGACAGCTAGTGAGAGGGAAATATTTATTCACCAAACAGGTGTACCACTCTGCCACCAGGCCTGAGGTAGCAGTGTTCATCAGTCTGGGTCTAAGCTTCTGGCATTCTAGCAGAGTCTCTAACCACCAGCCTGGCACGTGGTAGGAAAGAGGCAAGGCTGAGGCAGACTGGCTAAGCCCTGCTTCTGGCCTGTTTCCCACAACTGCCCAGTTCCTCACCAGGCCTCACCAGCATGTGCTCCGCCAGCCAGCCCTCATCCCTGGCCAGGCGAGAAGCGATCCGTAGGGCAAAGCATTTCTTGCCAAGCAAGGAGTTGCCACCATAGCCGCTGCCGAAGGAGACGATCTCCCGCTGGTCTGGCACATGGCCAATCAGGGTTTTTTCTGGGTTGCATGGCCACTGGCTCTCTGGATCCCCTGGGGACAATGGAGTTATAGAGCTACTGGCAGTGACATTAGGAATTGGGGCTGTCAGAGGCTGGAAGGGTCAAAGCTTTGGCTGGATGAGACAAAGCTCCTAGCTTCAATACCCATCGGTTCTCATGTCTCTTATTGGACATGGAGACTGAGTTTTTTTCAATCTGTGCAAACTGCTCTTCAAACACAGTCTCACTCAAAACCTAGAATTTTCCCCTGGGTCTAAATGCTTAGAATTTCATAGGGACAGGTTCTCAGGGTCTATGGATTAGTAGGATTTGGGGTTCCCTCTGAGTAGAAGGTCTTTGTGTCTTCCCCTGGCTAGGGAAGGTGCTCACCTTGGCCAGTCAGGGGCTGACCCACAGAGTGTAGACATTGGACAAAATCCCCATCTCCCAGGGTCTGAAGCACAGGAATCCCCAACCGGGTCATAATACGCATGCTTGCCACTACGTAGGCTGAGTCCGTAAGCTGCACCCCGATGCGGGACAGAGGGGAGCCCACCGGACCCATGCTGAATGGAAGCACGTACATGGTTCGGCCTGTGGAGGCAAAGTCACCTGGATGGAGAGTTCCAAACTTGGTTATACCTTCAGTGCCCCTGCCTCTGGGTCCCTGCCCTGGTTACCCTGCATGCAGCCCGGAAACCTCTCATCCACTGCTTGCTGGAATTCAGCTGGGGACATCCAGTTGCCCAGTTGTCCATGGGCCCCACCAGCCGGGAGGGGCACAGTGTCCCGCTGAGAAGGAGTTACAATCACAGTCTTGCTTTCTACTCGTGCCACGTCCTTGGGGTCTGTGCGGGCCAGCCAGCTGGGGGAGAGGGGATTGTCAGGAAGATGGTGCCCAGCAGGTCTCTCATTCTCAAACTCACTTTCCAAGGCCAACTTTGACTTCATGTCTTCTGTTGGCTTTACTTTTTCCTATCCAATCACATTTCCCTCCCTTCCTCTAGGCTTTGTCCTGTCTAAGAGGTGATTCCCCAAGGCTGTCCTTGGCAAATGCTCCCTACTTGGTAAGGAGAAAGGAAAAAAAAAGAAGAGCAAGGGTTCTTATTTGTATTAGCATCTTCATTCTGTATGAAAACATCAACTAATCGCAGTTCCTTAGTCTGTTTGCCCCTGAGCTCTCTTTTTTTGTTCATCCTATTGGGATGGTTTAATTATATGTAATTTTGTCATGAAGAACCCAATTGACCTCAGTCCAAGTAGTGGCTCCCAACTGAGTGGTGTCTGGGCTCAAGGCTTACCAGTTATTGTACTTGGGGAGCTTTCGGATAAGGCCCTGGTGTTCCAACAAGGCCAGGATGGCAGTGTTCTCAGCCTCTGTCCCATCACAGATGTGAATGCCCTCAGGTTGGCACAGACGGGCGCTGCGCTCCACAAAGTCTCGAACTCCAGCAGGGAGCTGGCCCAGATCTCCACTAAGCACATGCAGGTTCTGGAGGCTGCGGCATGTTTTCCAGCACCAGGGGCTCAGCTTGTGCCAGCTCAGCCTGCTAGAGAAGAAAGAGGGAGGCAATGAGCCAGCTAGCTGTCATGGAGGGTAGACAAGTGTTTGGCAGGGAAGATGGAAAGTTTGTGGAGCATGTTAAAATCTGGGGGGGCATGTTAAAGTATATCTGGGTGCAAGGACCCATGAAAAGCAGATTGGAGTTGGCATGTGGAAGGGTTTAGATTACATACAGCTTGTGGCAATTATTATTATTATTTTTTTTGGCTGGTCTTGAGGCTTGAATTCAGGGCCTAGGACCTGTCCCTGACCCTCTCTGTGCTCAAGGCTAGTGTTCTACCATTTGAGCCACAGTGCCACTTCTGGCCTTTTCTGTTTATTTGGTGCTGAGGAATTGAACCAAGGGCTTCATGAATGCTAGGAGAGCAATCTAGTGCTAAGCCACATTGCAGTCCCAGCTTGTGGCCTTTTTAAGGCATAAAATGCCTATTTCCTGGGTAGCAAGGGTAAGTATAGACAGTGAGCATAAAGGCACATAACCTGGCTATAGAAAAGCATAATATTATTGCATGTGTAGCCTATGCCTGGTCTATGTTTATAGAGTAGATGAGATTTTTGTTGTTGTTGTTGTTGGTTGTGGGGCCTGAACTCTGGGCCTGGGCACTGTCCCTCAGCTCTTCGGCTCAAGCTAGCACTCTACCACTTGAACCACAGCACCACTTCCAGTTTTTCTGCTTATGCGGTGCTGAGAAATTGGACCCAGGGCCTCATGCTTACACTCTACCACTGAGCCACCCTTCTAGCCCCGAGTAGATGAGATTCATGGGATATATTTATTTTTAAATCAATTTTTTTGTGATTTGATTTATCAATTGTTTATTAGCATAAATTAGGGGATTTTATTGTGACATTTCCATACATACACATAATATCTCTACATCTTTCATCCCTTCTTCTCTCCTTAAAATACAATTTCAACAAGTTACATTGTTCAATTTTCACATATATATGTAAAGTACAAACAGGTACTTTATGCCATAATTCATCTCTATATTCTCTCTCCCTCCTCCTACTTATAACCAACTCCCCCCTCTTATTGTAGCAAGAGGTTTCACTATGGTATTTCACATGTGCATTTTTAATTTTAATATTTATTTATTTTTGTGCTGCTGGCTAGCACTCTACCATTTAAACCATAGCTCCACTTTTGGCTTTTTAGTAATTATTTACAGGTAAGAGTCTTACAGCCTTTCCTGCCCAGGCTGGCTTGATCCATGATCCTCAGATCTCAGCCTCTTGAGTAGCTGGGATTACAGGTGTGAGCCATCAGTACCTAGCCTCAATTTTTACATTTTAGTCCAAAAAAAAAAAAAGAAAAGAGAAGAAAAGAAATGATCAGGTGCCCTCTGGCCCAAGTGGCAAGAAATTGTGTGCAAGTGAGAGCTGCACGTGTCTGGTTTAAAGCTTTGTCCATGTATTTTCCATTCACAAGTAGGTTTTTTTTTTTTTAAATAACAGCTGTTTTTATCTTTCTTTCCCAGTGTGAATGCTGTAAGACTGTGAAAGCCTCAAGCAAACAATCTAGCCTGTGTGATGGTACAATCCTGTTCCAGTGCCAGGTTTTGATATTAGTTTCTTATACAGAGGTAGGTGGTTGGACATTGGGGTACCAGATCTGTTGCTGTCCATCTGGATCAACAATGACTATCTAAAATGTTCCCACTGGGTAGGAATTTTTCAGCTACGTGAAAGGCTGCCCATTTGAAAATGAGTGTCATTGGTTGGGGTTGATGACTCCCAAGAGTCCCTGTATTGCTTATCCTATCACCATCCTAGAAGAGAGAAATAAGGTCTGCTCTAATTGGCTTCCACCTGTAGAGTGACCCAGAGAGCAAAGGCTAAGAAAAGTTAGCCTCTTCAAATACCAAAGCCTCACCTCCCAGACACCCAAGCAGCATACAATAGCATGGCACAAGCCTGTGCATCCCCTGTCTCTCTTTCCTGAAGCCACGTGTCTAGAGAGCTAGGTTGGTGGCAGGATGCAACATCAGACTGGAGGAAACTCAGATCAGAGGTTATATATAAGCTCGGGGAAGGGAGGGAGAAGGTGTAGGTAATGGATGTGGGAGAGTGGCCTGACTGGGGTGGTTTCCAGCCATCGGGGCAGGATAGATGCCCACTCTATCCCAACAAGGGCTCCGGAGTTCTCTCTGTGCATTAATTTAAAAGGCAGAGTCTTGAGAGCTTTTCTTCACTTGGAAGCTGGCTGTGGTTATCTCTTGTGAAGCCCCCACATCCTCCTCTGGTCTTCCTAAGACCCTCTCCCTATCTTCAAGAGACCATTCCCCTGGGCTGTTAGGTGAGAGATAATGGGGTCAGATCTGACACTGGAACAAAAGCAGGGGTGAAGCGGCGGGGGGGGGGCGGGCAGGGCTACAGAGATAACAGAGGAGACTGAGCTGAGCTCCAGGCCTAGATAGGAAGAAGCCTGCCGGACAGAAAAGACTGCCACTTGGTCCTCAAGTCCCTCGCCCTTCCCCTTCCCCCCTTTCCATCTTGCTCCCCTCCCTCCCCGGGCCCGGTCCCTCCGGCTGCACTGGGCTTCCCGCCAGGTTCCAGTTGGGGGAGGCGGGGAAAGGATGTTTACCTTCCACCTTCTTGAGGGAGCTCTGAGCTCAGGCCCCAGAGACTCCATGCCCTCTGGCCCCATGACCCCACAGCTCCTCATTAGCCTTGGGGGAGCCCAGCGGGGGCCCGGAAGAAGGACCGGGGCATATTAGGAGACACAAGGCCGAGCAAGAAGGGGGAGGAAGTTCTGAGCGGCAGATGGAGACCGCGCGAGCAGACAAGCCAGCAAGGGAGGGGTAGGGGCGGGTGGAAACGAGGAAACCCAGGGTGACGGACTCGGGAGGCACGCAGCACCCGTGGGGTCGGGACCGAGCATCAGTCACCCCGCCGGCCTCCTCCGGGGATGCAACCCCAAGGGGGCGAGCACGGCGGGACGTGCGGGTGGGCCCCGGGCTGGGGGACACTCACCGCAGGCCGGGGCGGTACACAGCAGCCATGGCACCTGGGTGGGGGCTGCAGGGTGGCCACAGGAACCCAGCGGAGTCGGGGAGATAAGGAGGGCGGGCGGGGGAAGGAGGGAGTGCGGCTAAGCGAGCGGGAGCGGAGGCGGGGCGGGAGGCGCTTAAAACGCAGGCGGGCAGGCACGGGGCGGAACCTAGCCGCTTTTCTCCGCCCCGCTGGTAGGCTCCACAGATCCCCAGGGTCTGGTTCCCCGGCCCAGGCCTGCTTAGCCGCTGCCCCAACCCTACTTGGTACCGCAAAGCCCACCGCTCCCATTGGAGGCCTGGGTCCACCCAGGGCCCGCCCACGGACACGCCCACACCGAGACCCCGCCCCTCCGCCTGCCACGCCACCCCGCTCCTGATGTAACTTCGAGAGCTCTTGCTCCTAGGAAAATGGATGGCTACGAAAGAGAGACACCGAGTGGCAAACAAGCTAGAAAAGAGGGGCGAGGCCAGGGGCGGGAGCTCTCTGAGCCTATACATCTAGAAGGTCGAGAAATGGCATTTTCCTTTTTAGATCTTCCTGAGGACTGGACACTCCCAGCCCCAGGCCTTTTGGTTTCCAAGGGTCCCAAAAGGAAAGTCCTTTTAATCCCCTACTCCTAAAAACTTTGCTTGTTTCCCTCCTACTTAGGGTGCTCTTCTCTCTTACCAAGAAATTGAAGTCTTTCCACCCAAGGACTGTTCCTTGACCTCTGATTTGGTTATTCTCTCTATTCCCCCTGGGGAACTTATTCTTCCTTGCCCAGCCACTGTCATAAAGCTTTCAGGAAATTTCTCAAGTGGTGTCTGTAGACATTTGGACCCAAATGACATGCAATTTGATATGGTGGGCATCTGTTCCACACGCTCTCCAGTTTCTGGTTTTTCTTTAGGAAAACATCTCCTGAATCTGTGAGGCCATGTGGATCTGACCTCACTCCCCTTGGGGGTAGGCTGTTACCTTAGCCAGTTTGTGTGTTCCTCATGTTGGCCACAACATTGAAGTATGTTCAGGGCTGGGCAACAGATTTTTTTCATCTGGAAACTTTTCTTTTCTTTTTCTGACATCTGAAGAAATGAGCTTTTTTTCCTGCTAGGTTTGCTGAGCTGGTAGAGTATAGGCCTGAAGCTGCTGGTGTCTGTTGGTCATTCCAAAGCAGAAACTTACCTGAGACAGAGCAGACCCAGGGAGTGCAATAGGTTTCTGAATTAAGTTAGAGGAATTAATACGTTTCTTCTCTTCCTCAAGCTAATTTTAAGTGGGTTTCTGTTGCTTACAATAAAAATAATCTTTTCATTCTTTCAAAATTTTCATTTCTTTTATTTTTTTTGGGTCCAGTCGTGGGGCCTGAACTCTGGGCCTGGATACTGTCCCTCAGCTCTTCAGCTCAAGGCTAGTGCTCTACCACTTGAGCCACAGCGCCACTTCCAGCTTTTTTTTTTTTTTTTTTGCTTATGTGGTGCTGAGGAATAGAACCCAGGGCCTCAAGGCAAGTGCTCTACCACTGAGCCACCTTCCCAGCCCAAAAATGTTCATTTCTTATTAGCATACATTAATTGTACAAAGGGGTTTCATGAGGACATTTTCATACATGCATACAATACATGCATACATTGAGCAAACTCAATCTCCTCTATCACTTTCCCTTATTTCCACTTCCCCCTTCAACAGATTTCATTGTTCTGACATAGAAATTTTTTTGATTCTCACAATTTTCAGAGTTCTGTGTTGTAACATAGTGTCAAGAGAGCTGGCCTCCATCTGTGTGAAGTAGGTCTCCAATTCTTCCCATCTAGGCTTCAGCCTTCACTCAACTGCCTATATGTATTTGGACCTCTCCCAGCACTGCATCCATCCTCTGTTCTTACCCATTCTACCACAAACCATTGCCTCTTGGCCACTCTTTAGGCTTAAAGGCATGCACATAATGGCACATGGTTGGCCTTCTGAAGGTCATGATTTTGTCGGTAATTCTGCACTTGCTCCTATCATGGTTTTGCTTTTGGTGCCCATATTGAAACTTGAACTTAGGGCCTGGGGCTCTTACTTAGATTTTTCCCACCCAAGGCTGATACTCTACCACTTGACCCACATACCTCTACTCATAGCTTTTTTTTTTTCTTTTTTCTAGTTAATTGGAGATAGAAGTCTCACAAACTTTTCTGCCCAAGCTAGCTTTGAACTGCAATCCTCAGATCTCCTGGATAGCTAGAATTACAGGTATGAGCCACCAGCACCCAACACTTTCATGGTTCACTATGTCAATAAATGGTACCACTATGTAACCAGCTATTCCAAGACAAGTTTAATCAGCCTGGACTATTGTTTTCTTATCCTCCATAGTTAATGAGATACCCGGAACTTTGAATGTGTACTCAGCTCTCAAATCATGTCTATCCCCATACCTGATCTAAGGCTTAACTCTCACCTTGCTGAAGGTGATGGTTTCCAGGGTACTTCTTGTCCTCCTGTCTCTCAAACACCACCTCTTCTCCCTTTACTAAGCCATTCTCCACCCACTGTGCATATTTGCTCACTTTGGAGAGTTAAGAGAGAAGAATACATTTATGGCATGGATAGGAGGAACTAGGCCCTGTGCCAGCTTCTTTGCCTGCATGATCTCATTCAGCTTCACAACAACTCTATTTTCTAGATATAGACTCTGGCCTAGAGAGATTATACTATTTGCTCCAGGCACATCTGGTCAGTAAGAGAAATAAAATCTGAATCTTTTGAGTATTTTTACCCTGTTCCCCATCCTACCCCACTGCAATTTTGTTCTCTTGATTTATCCTTAAAAAATACTTTCTAGGGGCTGGGAAGGTGGCTCAATGGTAGAGCTCTTGCCTTGCATGCGTGAGGCTCTGGGTTCGATTCCTCAGCACCACATAAGCAAAAAGAAAAAAGCTGGAAGTGACGCTGTGGCTCAAGTGGTAGAGCGCTAGCCTTGAGCTAAAGAGCTGAGGGACAGTGCCCAGTCCCAGAGTTCAGGCCCCACAACCGGACCCCCCCCCAAAAAAAAACCCCAAACTTTCTAACACTATTAAGCTTACAAGCCTTAAAAGGCTTCTTATCACTGGACATGCAATGTCTTAGGTAATTTGGCTCCCCCCCCCACTCCTCACCTCCCACCCCCGTTTACCTTTTTTTTCTCCTATAAGAACAATATTTTAGTTTTTTTAAAATTTATTTTTTATTGTGAAAATACTGTACAGAGGGGTTACAATTACATGGGCAAGATAATGAGTACATTTCTTATCAAGCATTGTAGCCTCCTCCTTTGTTTCCCCTTCCCACCCCTTCCCAGCCTCCCCCCCCCCCCCCCCCCCCCCCGCCACCCCAAATATTTTAGTTTTGTTTTTATTTTGTCTGACCTAGCCATATCTGGCCTATCATAGGCACTTGATAAAGTGGTGGTGGAATTGAAAAATGAATGAGTCTCACATTTCTGAATCTTTTCCAACCTTATTTCCCTCTTAACTTTAGACAAATTGATCCAGAGGATCCTGACAGGATTTGCATTGCTGATTCCCTCTTATTTACCACATTCGTGTTCCTTCCCAATACCCAGCCTGGTCCATCGGTTAGCCAAGTGTCCAGTGAGTACCACCAGGGGGCAGGGTGTGATAAGCACTTCCTTAGCCTGCAGTTTCTCTTTCCTAGAGACCTTTTGGTGTTTTTCATGTCTCACAGACCCCTTGCAATGGACCCCGTGGGCAGTGCCTGACCCCATCTTTAGGAATGAGTTGCTTCATTGTCTTAGAAGCTGACATGAACCTACTGGTGAGGAGGTACATCCCAAGACTCTCACTGAATACTTGAAACTGGGGATTAGTACCAAGCCATACAGAAATGAACTTTTTCCTATACATACATATCTAAGATAAAGTTTAATTTGTAAATTAGGCATAATAAGAGATGAATAACAATAACAACAATTATAAAGTAACTAACAATATGTTGTAATAAAAATTACATAAATATCAGCTCTCTCAAAGTGTCTCATTGTTTTTTGTTTTTGGTCCAGTTGTGGGGCCTGAACTCTGGGCCTGGCTGCTCTCCCTCAGCTCTTCAGCTCAAGGCTAGTGCTCTACCACTTGAGCCACAGCGCCACTTCTGGCTTTTTTCTTTTTTGCTTATGTGGTGCTGAGGAATCAAACCCAGGGCCTCATGCATGCAAGGCAAGCGCTCTACCAGTGAGCCACCTTCCCAGCCCTCAAAGTATCTCATTGTATTGTACTTTCCCTTCTTGTGATAATGGAAATAAGGGAAAGTGAGACACTGATGTAACACTAAGCTACTATTGATCTTCTGATGATAGGTCAGAATCATCATCTGCCAACATTACTAGCCTTATACTTTGTAGCCATTATTAGGTAAAACAAGAGTTACATAAACACAAGTACTGCAATACCACCATAGATCTGCTGAGATGGCTACTAAGTGACTAATGGGCAGGTGTATGTACAGTGTGGATGCAGAGGCCTACAGGATGACTAATGAGCAGGGCATGAAAGTGTGAGATTTCATCATATTACTAAGAATCGCGTGAATTTTTAAATTATGAATGATTTATTTCTGGAATTTACCTTTTGTGAAGTTTCTTCTTTTATTGTTATTACAAAGGTATATATAGAGGGGTTACAGTTACATAGCTCAGGTAATGAGTATACTTCTTTTTTTGACAATGCCATTCCTTCCCTCGTTCTCTCCCAGTTTTTTCCTCCAGTCCCCACATACAAGTTGTATAGTTCATTTTCAACATAGGGGCTGGTGAATACCACTCCTGCATTTGTTCATTCTTTGTCTTGTCCCTCCATTTCTGTGTCCCCCTTGCCCTCCCAAAGACAGATAAATGGACAAGACAAAACAAAAGAAAACAAAACAAAAGCCTTTTGTTTCCATTTCCTGGATGGAATTTACCATGTGAGTGTGTGTGTGTGTGTGTGTGTGTGTGTGTGTGTGTGTGTGCCATTACTAGGGTTTGAACTGAGGGCCTGGTCTTTGTCTTTTAGGCTTTTAGCTCAAGGCTGATGCTCTACGACTTGAGCCACAGCTCCATTGCTATCTTTCTGGTGGTTACTTTTGAGATGAGAATCTCATTGATTTGAAGCCAGCCTGGCTTCA